GAGCTGGGGCTGCGAGGGGGACGCGCACTGGAGATGGATTGCGCCTTCCTAGAGGGACCCAGGGTGGAGGGCGTGCAAGGGCGTGTCCTAACGTGGGTGTGGGCGTGCTGGGGGTGGCACAGGGACCAGCCTGAGTGTTGGGCACCACGAGCTGGGGCTACGAGGGGGACGCGCACTGGAGCTGGATTGCGCCTTCCTAGAGGGACCCAGGGTGGAGGGCGTGCAAGGGCGTGTCCTAACGTGCGCAGTGGACTGCAGAGGGCGGCGCAGGGGCGTGTCCTAGAGGGGGACGTGCTGGGGGTGGGGCAAGGGGCGAGCCTCAGTGTGGGCGGGCGACGCATAGCTGAGGCTGGGAGGGGACGCGCCCTGGAGCCCACCAGGGCCTGTCTAGGGGGACACTAGGCCTTAAGGTGGGGTGGTGCAAGGGGCGTGCCCTAGGATGGGGGGGCTGGGCGTGCTGGGGCCGGGACAGGGGCGGGCCTCAGTGTTGGGCTCGGCGGAGCTGCCCAGGGTACACGCATGCGCCCAGGAGCGAACTGGGGAGTGACTTAGAAGGGAAAGGGGCGGCGCAGGGTCCAGTGGCGGCCCTAGAGTTGGAGGGACCGTCAGTGCTGGGGGGAGGGGAGAGAGGCCCGGGAGCGGGACAGCAGTGGCTTAGACTGTTCCTGGGGGCTCCCCAGCAGCATCAAGGAGGGGGCACAGGGCGTGCGGGGGGACTCAAGCTGGGCGGGTTTTCTGGGAGTGATGGGGCGAGACGGCCTTATGGGGAGGGGACCGGACAGGAGTTTCAACCCGGGTCAAGACCTTGTTGGGGGAGGGGCAGGATTGTGTCTTAGAGTGACAGGCCATGGCTGTGGATGGGGACCAGAACGGGACACGGAGTGCTTCGAATTTATAGGGAAGACAGGGTCATCGAGCTGCGTGTCTTAAAAATGTGATGGGGGGGTGGTGTCACAGCCGTGTCAGCGTGGGGCAGGGGACGTGCCTTATAGAGATTGTGGGACTTGGCCATGGGGAGGGGTCCCGGCTCCGAATGGGAGGGGCAGAGCGGGTCTTAGTCGGGGGGACACTCCAGTGCATCTGTGCCGACCTGGAGTGGGGGACACAGGCCGTGAGGGGGCAGAGAGCGGGTCTTGGAGGGGTTCGGAGGCCCGAGGGTCTCAGCGTGGGGAAGCGAGTCTCTGAGGCCCCGGGAGCGGCCCCGCGGGCGTTGCGAGCGCAATTTCCGCGGCTCGAACTGGGCCCCCTTCCTGCTCGGCCGGCGCCCCCTCCTCCTGCTCGGCCCCCCACCGCCCTCTGCGCCCCACCCCAGCGCTGCTCTCCAGGTTGTGCAGAGAAGGCGCCCGGGGCTGGGTTTTGATGACCCGCCATTTCCGGGCACCTCCGCTTCCTTCCTAAGGTGTCGCGCTGTCCCTTCCCCAGACCAGAGTGGCTCTGCGTCCCAGGGTCCCACGCACCTGGCGGTGGCGGAGACACGTCCCCTGGGCCTGCAGCAGCCCTCTGCGTGGATCCCTTGGCTGCTGTGCTGGGATCTGGGCGCTGTCATCCCCGCCCACTGGGCTGCTGGGCGTGCTCCTGGACCCTGGTGGATCCGATTAACCTGGCGACTGGCGCCTGAAAACAGGTTCTCCAGGGTCCCCACCGCCCGGTGAAGCTGGGGCTTCTGGAGCTGCTTAATCTGGATGGAGCCCGAGCAGAGTGACAGCCCTATACAGCCAGGGCAGCTTAGGGAACCCTCCTGTTTTTATTCCTTCCAAGGGTCTTGGGAGAGCCCCACCCCCCTCATAGAATTGGTGCGAATTCAGCTCCACCAGTCTCCGCGTTTGGTATCTTCTGGGTGCTGGACTCTTGCTCCTTTGTGCACCCAGGCCCTGGGGTGAAGCCAGAATTAAACTGGCAGTCAGTATAGACAAGGAAATGGAGTGAGGCCAATTTTGATGAGTCTGGCAAGTTGGAGACTGTTCCCTGAGGGATTGAAATGTTAGTTCCTTCAGAGCCCTTCCTCCACCCTTATGGAGAACCTGCCCTTGAGCCAATCCGCCGCTAAGATAGCGTGTCCCAGGAATTGCCCCTCCCTACAGGGAGCTACTAGGTTTCTGATTAATGGTCCTTGGCTGCTCCACCCTGCCCTTCCCCCTTCAGCTCATCTGGTTCCCACCTTTTGACCAGCTCAGGAGCATCCCTGGGCCTAGTCAGGTTCCCAGGAAGGAGGAAGACGAGGGGAAGAGGGCCCCAGAACCAAGGAAGCCTAGGACAAGGGCAGAACACCTTGCTTCTTGGGATACCAGGACGCCAGCTGTGGCCCCTTCTCCCTCCCAGGAGAAGTCTGTGCTCCCCCTGTTTAAATAAACCCTGCTTTCTATGCTTGCTTCGGCGGGCTCTAATGTTCAAACGTCAGCATGTGGGAAGGCAGAACTTCTCACCAGCACCCATGGTATCGTTTGGAGGTCCTACGAGCGCTTAATGCTTAAGTGCAGTTAGTGCAGCTGCCACTCTTGAAGACTGGGGTGAAGGGCTTCCGGGCCTAGGCAGCTCCCAATCACCTGTTAAGTGTTTTGTTTATGATCCTCATGATGTGGAGAACAGGGCACCCGTCAATCCATAATAAAAGTACCTGTTACCTGAGAATGCAGGGAAATTCCCAGAATGAGACCAAGGACACAAATGAGACAGGCCCCAAGGTGTGTTTCAATCTCTCTCAGGATACAAACCATAGTGCTATTCCTTAAGAAATTCACAGGGAAAAGATCACAAATCAGGGTTCCTGAGAAAAGCCTCACTGACAAGAAATGTTTATCCCACGGTTAACAATGTACACTGATCTCCCCACCCCCCTTTCTAAAGGCACAATCGGTGCCACAGCCTAGTTACAGAAAAACAATCGCTGTGCCAAGTGTACAAGGACCACCATGTGTAGCTTGCGTAATTAAAGGAGGATTATAGTATTCCCCTCCAGGGCAAGAGGCTAATCAAAATACATCCCCCCCATTAACACAGCCTCCTTTGCCTCACACAGGAATTCATGATGAAAGTGGAAAACACATAGTTAATGGCAAATGGGTTGAGGTGCTGTTAGACCAGGACGCAAGAAAAGACCACTGACTCCAATGAAAATCAAATTAAAGCAAGCTTATTATTTCGACAGCCCCGAGGCTTCTTTGTGGCCCAGTTTTATAGCCCAAAAAGTTACACAAAGGGGGGTTACAGATAACAACACATTTTTGCTGGCCCCGGCATCAGAATTTATGGAGATCTTAGAGACTCAGAGAGGGTCCTTATCCGGCCAGGGAAGGCCAGAATTTATGAGGCGTCACTAAGGTTTAGGAAAGGGTTGTTACCTGGTCAGGGAAAACCAGACATGGCTGAGTTCAGGGCACGGGCAGGCATTCCAAGTAGGTTCAGAATTTGCAGTAATTTATAGTAAAGCCGAAATTAGCTTTTCATGGTTTTGTGGCGAGATGCCCAATTTTAAGAAAAGATCAGGTTGGGTCTATCATTCCCCCCTTTTCTTCTGTGTCCCTTTCAAATTTTTGATAGGGTAGGGGAAGAGCACTGAGGGAATTTTAATCCCTCAGGCAACAGTCTCCAACTTTTTAGAACCCACTCAAAACTGGTCTCCCTGATTTTACCTGACTTAATTAATTACTTATATTGATAATCTATTTATTTTTGGCTCCATTGTTGTAAGAAGACAGGCGTCACTCATTTTGGCTTCTTCTGAGCTGAGAGGGTGACGTGAGGGGGCACGGCGTGAGGGACATGAGTTGCCTTTTAGAAGTCAGTTCGGTTTGAAGTCTGGTTGGGGAAGAACAGGTTGTAAAGTCATCTGGGGATGGGTGCTTCTATGAGAGAAACAAAAACCATGAGTACTGAGTAAATGTTGCAGCAGCTGGAACGTGTCACTGTATAGAAGTTCCCTCACCAGGCTTTAACATTCCCAGTTATCAGGACTGTAAGCATAACATTTAACTTTTAGTGTTACAGTTGTTACTCTCCATAAGATACAGTTTAATAATTTAATGTCATCTGACCTTGCAAAATCCTTTTACTAGTATGAGCTCTGTGTTTAATAGAGAAACCTTTAATTATGTTACTCAGAGCTGGATAATCATACTAGCATACACCAAGCCTACCTGTGTAGGTTAGGAATAACTGTAGGCCTTAAACTAAAAACTTCTGTCTCTGGCAGCTCCTCTTGATAGTCTCTTTTTATAGTTATCAGACATTTCTGTCTGAGAATCCTTCTTTGTAGCCTCCAGTCTTACTTATTTTGGGAGGCTAACATAAAGTGTATACCTTAAATAATCATTATTATTATTATTATTATCATCATCATTATTATTAATTAAAATGCCCAGGAATGGCTGTATTTTGGTTTTAACTGTCTTTGCTAAGTGTTTAAGATGAAGCAGTCAAAGTGACTTTTGTTTCTATCTATTGTTAACAGTCAGCTGAGCTTTTATGGGAGTCCTGGGGGAACTTGAGAGCAGCTTCTCAGTTCCGCTAGTGCCATTTGCGCTAGGAAATTCTGCAGCCGGCCTTCGCTCCAGGGCTCTGGGTTGGAGAGCCACTCTAGGGGGTGTGCAACTTGAGACGTTCCAAGGCCTCCGAGTGAGCTTTCAGTCCCCGGAGCACTGCAGTGAACTGCCGCACTAAAACTATCAGCAAGCACCAGGTGGAGGAGGCCTCCATAGCTAAGTGACGCCCTTCTGGGAATACCAGGATGGCTCCCTTCTTCCTCCTGGGGAGAAGTCCATGTTACTAATTTTTGAATAAACCCTGCTTTGTGTGCTTGCCTGGGCTTGCTTCTCTAATGTTCAAACTTCAACATTTGAGGAAGCAGAACTCCTCCCCAGTAACCAGCGGTATCAACGCCACAGGCCATATGTGCCCCAAGTGGGGTTTCATATGCAGGCTTTATGGGCCGAGCTGAGCAGGGGTATTGTTTCTTTCTGGTTTAACTATTGAGAAACCAGCCTCTACCTCAGTGCAAATCCTGTCCAAGGAAGGGGGCAAGACCCTTGTCCTTGGAAAGACCCACAGAGCACTCCTAGGCTCATACCCCACCCTGCTGAGTTGTTTATCTACAAATAACAGGAGAGACCTGCAGTGCCAGGTGTCCCTGACTCATTCAGGCTTGGTAGGGAGCCATAGCAACCCCCTAGCCACCGCCAATCAGCATGATATTCGGAAATACCTGGGATGCCAGATGACCCTCCCAGTAGTTTATGGTGGTTGATAACTTGTTGGGAAACCATGTAGTTCAGCACATACTCCCCTCGTGGCCTAAATAAGTCACTCTATGGGGAAGGCAGTGGAGTCTCTTCCTTCCCCATAGAGTGTATAGAACTGCTGCAAACCCTGGGCTTAGGACCTCTCAGCGTCACCAGCTGAGGTGTGTGTGTGCGCGGAGGACGGAGCTAGCTCGCAATGAACACCTCTTTGCAGCTTACATCGGTCTTAGTCTCTGGTGGTCTTTTGGGGGGGGGTCCCAAATTCGATGATAACACAGCTAGAAGGAGGAAAAAGGCAGTATCTCTTCAAAGTGGCCCTTTATTATTTATTAACATTTTTTAAAGTTTATGGAGAAATGGTTTATAGAAAAATTTTAACAATGATCATTGGGTAAAGGAAAATAAGTACACTAACTAGTAAAGGGATCTCAACACAAAAACTCATTTTCCCTGGAAGCAATGTACAGAAGCAAACGCATGGACCCAGACATGGAGCAGTGCACCAGACACACAAGCACGTGGAGACTGAAGGTTGAACACCACGGAGGAGGCTTGTAAAACAGCGGTCATAACGCAGGTCGGCCAGCAGGGGGCACTCTGCTCACAGCGAAGTGTTGAAAACAGGCCCCTGCATCAAGGAGAGGATTGTAAACTCAGGAACCTGGATGAAGCATCTGCACAGGAGCACAGCCCAGAGAGCAGAGAGTGACTGCAGAGACGTGAAAGAGAGGTCTCAGGACGTGTTGGCAAGGAAACTGTCCCCATTAAGGGCCTATAGGCTGGCTGGGGATTAAATTGGCAGTAAGAGAGATTCAGGGAGAGAAGCTACTCAGTCCCTTGCAGTGCAGGGGCGTCTCCTTCAAGTGGGGACCCAGAAAAGGGCCAGGTTTTGAAGACTGTGGAGCCTCTGGAGTACAGAATGGAACCAGCGGGTGTCAGGATGGTGGAGAGGATGACAGGAGGGAAGGGAGATGGGTGGGGGAGCAGGGGGCCTTGCTGTGCAGACAGGTCTCGGGGTGTCCGAGCTGGCGGGAGCAGCCCTCTTCCTGAGACTCCTTCACTAGCACAGGTGCCCTCACCCACGGGGTCTTCAGAGCCACCGCTGTGCCCACAGTTGCCCAAAAAGAACAACCTTGGAACCAGCGGGCATATTGGGGGCCTGCTTTGGTCTCCTAGAGTCACAATTCAGGGTGGCCTGTGGTGAGCCTCAAGGTTGGGTTGATTCCTCTTTGTCTCCAAGGCACCCAGGTGGGAAGGGCCGGCCAAGGCCTGGCTCCTGAAGGCCTCCTCTGGCACAGCCCATGGGCCCCGTGCTGTTCCCCTTGTGCCGTCCTCACACAGCCACGGTCCCTCACTGCAGCGCGCAGCACGCTCATCCGTGTTCTGGGTACATCATGTCACCCCACTCTGGAGGCCCCCTGAGTCTACTGCCATCCCTTTTGGATGCTGTGGTGATGGTACCTGGCGACAACCGCTAAGAGGGAAAATGCAAATTTGTTCCCATGGTTTCAGAGACTTAGTCCATGGCCAGCCAAGGCCACTGCCCTGGGTGGGTCTTTGGGGGCAGAGCATCACCTTGGTGGAAGGGCGTGGAGGAGGGGAGATGCTCAGGGTGTGAGGTCAGCTTCTGCCACAGCAATCACTTCCCACCGGCAGAAGAGGGTGTCACATGCCGTCACTTTTGCTGTGGGCTACGCTAGGTTTTCTCTGTGTCTAG